GCCGGGTATCAGCTATTGTAATAAATAGTTTGGAAAACTAATGACACACTAGCCAAACTAAAAATGAATTGGTAGAAAATGGAGAGTAGTTTGAGAATACATAGTTCCCAATATACAGAGTGTAGAGTGTGTCGAACACGTATCAACAAATATTTGAAAATAATGAATCTTCATACTTGTAATTATGATCAAATTCTATTCAAAATTTGTATCTTGGGGTTTTCGGGGTCATAGATTATGATTGTATTCTTTAAAATTGGGAAATTCGAGATGGCGGTTCCAATATGGCGAAACAGCTCTATAATTAATAGAAGTTCGTAAAACCATGGGTAAAACTATGAGGAAACACGCTCTTATGGATAGCCGAACTCGAGGCCAAACTGGATAGAAGTAGAAAATTGATAGTATAGTTTAAAGAACGAGATAGATTATCGAACTAAAAAGAAGTGGAAAATAAAAATAGTAGTTTGATATACTAATGTATATAGCAAAACAGCGTTTGCTGGGTATCAGCTATTGGTAATAAATAGTTTGGAAAACAAATGACACACTAGCCCAACTAAAAAGAAATGAGTAGAAAATGGAGAGTAGTTTGAGAATACATAGTTCGCAATATACAGAGTGTAGAGTGTGTCAAACACGTATCAACAAATATTTGAAAAAAATGAATATTTATTCTATGTCCATATAGTGATAATACTCCAAGTCGTCTCCACAACGTTTAATACCATCAATCATCAAATCATAAACAGAAAGGGGACATGTTTCGGATCTACAGAGTATCCATCATCAGCCGATTGAGACAATTATTCTACAAAGAACAAACCAACAATAATAGGGTATCAATGGTAAAACATGATAGTATACTCACGTGGAGCAGTAAAAAATGTTTTTGGAATCACACGAAGTTACAAAAAAATTATAATATAATGAAAATCTCAACTTTTGTTAATATAACAGGTTTTCTAAATAGGGGCCCTGTGCCCCGATGAGACAGTGGAATCGCCAAATTAGGAGGCCCGAAGACATCCAAAAATGAAAATCTTCATCAATAATAGTATTTAAAAATTTTTCTATACATGTAAAATGTAACATTGATACTGATTTGGAAATTTTACATATTTGCCAGAAGGGTATAGTTTGCTGAATTTGTTGGAAATTTTTGAGATCAATTCATCTTCAAAGAACAAAAATATTCTTTCGCTCAATGAACAAATCCATTTCGATTGCCAAAAACTCTTCAATGCCTTGAGTTTCTGATGTTTGTGTTATTGTTCCCTCTTGCTTTGGTCCCCAGTGTGAGTTTCCTTTTCAAAATTCTCATAGCATTGTTAACCTTAGGTTGTTCCCCCTTCTATCTTTATATTATAATGTCACCATCCACAAGTTTGTCATGATGTTCATGGATCCAATTGTCTCTTGTCTTGCATCACCGTTGACAGCTGAAATTACAGTTGTCTGTCAAAGTTGGATTTGACATTGACATTTGGTCACATGGTATCAAGTTAATTCAGTGAGATCAAGATGATAACGTTTTTTTTTTTTCATTTTTGGATGTCTTTCGGCCTCCTAATGTGGCGATTCCACTGTCCCTGTTTAGAAAACCTGTTATATATTAGCGAACGTTTAAATTTTCATAATATAATTTTTTTGTAACTCCATGTGATTCCAAAAACATTTTTTTCTGCTCCACGTGAGTACTACCATGTTTTACCATTGATACCCTATTATTGTTGGTTTGTTCTTTGTAGAATAACTTTCTTAATCGGCTGATGATAGATACTCTATAGATCCGAAACATGTCCCGTTTCTATTTATGATTTGATGATTGATGATATTACTATATGAACTACTTCACTCCACTTTGAGACAACATGGACTCCAACAGTAGCTTATTCTACGTCTATGGACATTGAACACGCATTTATATTTTCACCCCAGTTTTTTAGGAATTTTTTGGCACAAATTGATGCAATAAATTGGTATTTTTTTTTTCCATGGAAATAATTCAATTTATCAGAACAATTCAAGAGACCTGAATGTTGTATTTTCAGTTGGTCAATAGGTTATAAAGATACAAAGTTCAAAGAAATTAGTGACGCACATTTTATTGACAATAATATTCGGTAGGTTGCTCTCCGGGACGCCACTGGATTTCATAATTCCGATTGAATTATGGCTATATCAGCACCTCATGACACGAAATATCATTGCCAAATTTCATAAGAAAATCGGTAGAAGGATATTTGAGATATTCATAAAAAAACCGATGTTTTTCGAAAGTTTTAACACACTGTATGTTGATAACTATGCATTTTTGGACCCACGTACATATTAACTGAATCCCTTATTTTATCATGTAGAATCATCACCTTGATTTTTTGTGCATAATTTCCGGACACCCTGTATGAAATTCTCGTGTTACAATGTTCGTTCCTATACTGCTCCAAAACGGCTTGACCGATTCTGATGAAATTTTTTATTCATTTTCAGTTAGTCTGAGAATCGGTCGTTATCTATTTTTTAGATCGAAATTTAGAGATGGCGGATCCAATATGACAGACAAGTTTTGTAATCATAGTCCGATTCAATTCAGATCTGGTATCTGGGGGTTTTCGGGATCGGAGCTTATGATTTATTCGTCAAAATGGCGGATCCAATATGACGGACGAGTGTTTCAATTATTATCAGACTCTATTCAAAATTGGTATCTGGGAGTTTTTGGAGTCGGAGATAATGATTTTTTCATCAAAATTTGGAAAGCCAAGATGACAGATCCAATATGGCGAACGAATTTTGTAACGATGATCTAATTCTATTCAAAATCTGTATCTGGGGGATTCTGGGGATGAAGATTATTATTCTTTCAATAAAATTAGGAAATCAAAGATGGAGGATCCAATATTGTCTACGAGTTTTGTAATTATGATCAAATTCTATTCAAAATTTGTATCTGGGGGTTTTCGGGGTCGGACATTATGATTGTATTCTTTAAAATTGGGAAATTAAAGATGACGGATCCGATATGGCGAAAGAGCTTTATAATAAATAGTAGTTCGTAAATCTATAATGAAACACGCTTTTATGGATATAATAGCCGAACTCGAGGCCAAACTGGATAGAAGTAGAAAATTGATAGTATAGTTTGAAAAACGAGATAGATTGTCGAACTAAAAAGAAGTGGGAAATAAAAATAGTAGTTTGATATACTAATGTATATAGCAAAACAGCGTTTGCCGGGTATCAGCTATTGTAATAAATAGTTTGGAAAACTAATGACACACGTTTTTATAGATAGCCAAACTAAAAAGAAATAAGTAGAAAATAAAGAGTAGTTTGAAGAAATTATCCTGCTTTTTTGGATATCCGAACTAGAAAGAAGTTGAGATGAAATAATAAAAGTTCTATGATAAATATTTATCTACAAAATTTCTTTCTAGAAATAATGTTTATAAAAATACCCCGAGATACCAAACTCCATTCGAGTATCACAATTATTTTGAAATTTATCAACAAAAAACAAAAAGAAGAATTCAACTTTGACACTCTGTATCTCAGAAACGAATAGTTTTCGGACATATATTTATATGAACTTTTCTCCTTCTTTTGACGTCAGCAACATGCTTCCGAATTTTCTACACGTACTTAAGAAACACCCTGTACATATATATACTATAATATATAATATATTTCCCTATTCCCCTTTGGCTATGTTTGTGGAAAGTTTAATACAGGTGGAACCAAAAGACCTCTTTCAAAAAGGACGAAGAAACATAAGAACAATATAAAGACAAGACACATCGACATATTGAAACTAGCTGAACATATCCTTACTGAAGATGGACAACATATGGCAGAATGGAATGATATTAAAATCATTGGAAAAGAAGATAACAACCAGAAGAGTAAATTACGGTAAAATCAAGGAATCTGCTTGCATTCTTCTGAACGGAGACAATAGCATTGCTCCCTGTTCAGTTGATATAGATAGAACACGGTATTCACTACTGAAATCTGAAAATAAAATTGGTAAATTCAAGATTAATTAATAAAAACATCCTGTAACTCATTTGATTGCCAACGTCACCAATTGTCACTGAGAACTGAAAAGTGTCAAGACAAATAACAAACTGCTATTCAAATATCAATTTTTTTATGTTGAAAACGGGAGCAGATTCGTTCCCGAAACGTCCAAAGCTTATAGTGAAAATCTGATGTTTTTTCTATATATCTTCATTTCTCTTCTCCAAACCTTTTTCTATACAAATTGTCACTGACAAGCTAGTGAATATTTCTTTCAGTCTCTCTGATAGGGAAATTCTTCGAACGCAGTGACATTTTGGGGCAAATCATCTTTACTACACGTATTATATTGAAATAATATTCATATTCTCATTTTATAGAAACGAGGAGAAAAAATTAAAAAAAAAATGGAATAATGAATGTACCACCTCCTCGATCAACCTACAGACAGTATATATTTTCAGTTCTTGAAAAATATATACAGCTGCCTTAGATTGTATACTTTTCGAAAACACAAAGGATACCTCAATAATGTATATATATTTTTTTGAGATCAGAAGAGAGAGCTCTACCGATTAGGAAAACAAAAAACAGTGTGTTCCATTTGAAAAATACCAGTTTATGTGAAATTTTGAGGTTTACGAAGCTTGTTTGCATTATCTAGAACTAGATTCTGAATGCCCATAAAAAATAAATACTTCGATCATTATTGCCCGTTTGAAACTTTCTGTGAGACCAATATTAACTGGAATATCTATTGAGTAAAATATAAACAATCACCCTGTTTACATACTAATAGTTAAGAATTGTGGTAATAAGTAAAAAATGTCGTGAATAAACAGGCCCATCTTGTTAGCTTCACGTAGAGAAGGCACTCTATATATCTCTCATTACTTACTCTGAGATTTATACGTATTTTCAAATGAATCTCATCGTGAATATAAGAACGAAAATTCAAGCTGATATGCCTCACTTACGTTTTTCACACTTCTGTCCTGTGAAAGAATACTTGCAAGCCTCCTCACAGATTCCATCTATATGACGACAACTCGTATCTGAACAATATGGAGAGCATTTTTCTTGACATCCATGACCATAGGTGCCAAGTTTACATTCTAGAACATTCGAATCTTCATTTTTTTGTTATCATCGATTAAGAAACATACCTTTACTGCAACTATCTTCATATCCAGGTGTGCAATGACATTCTTTATGACCATCGATATATTCGCAGTATTCAAAATCCCAACAGTAATCCACCCCAAAAATTGCACACGGTATGCACCGTTTGCCAAATGAATTTTCTGGACATTTTATACCTAAAGATCATTCTGTGATTTTCTACATACTTTTATTTTGTACTGTCTTTCAGAGCTATTATTAACTCTAAATAGTTTTTTGTGATAACTTGGGTATACAGGGTGACATTAAAATAAACTCATATAATTAGAACCCTGGAAACGCTCAAAGAATGATATCGAATGGTAACTTTGAAAGGATGAATATAGGGATCAAACTAAAACTTGTGCATGACCCCTTCTTTCGTCCAGATGTTATTTGAACGAATTCTACTTAATATCTTCTCCATTCGTATATGAGAATGTTGAAATTTTTCATATTTTGTCAAAGTACGATATTCAACTCCATATGAAACAATATTTTCATCAAATTTTAGTGTTAGTAGTGCTGAAGTTGAACATCCCAATTCAGAATCCCTTTAATATCATATTCAGTATATTATTCTTCATGGACTTACCATGAGTTTTTATTTCATCATTTCCGTCAGTAATCAGAAGTGTTTCTTCTTGAATCGCAATCGTTTGACAAGGAGTATTCGTTTCTTCAGATATCAAATACCTATATTCTGATATAAAAAAAGTAATAAGTAGTGAAATAGGTATCTCCTGATATGATTGCATGATATAAAACACGTTCTAGAATAACTTGTAATTAGGACTTGGTGTAATATATGTATACCATTTTCCTGTTCATCTCAATATTCATTGAATATCGAAAAGTACACTAGCCTTCAGATAACAATATGTCGCGATAAAACGGTGTGAGCGCTCTTATTGCAGCGTCGATTTAGGGAGCTCTGATACCAAAGAACTCAATATAAACACCTATATTGAGTTCATTGGCTGATACCGTCCATGATCGCCATGTTTTCTGAAGAAGAATGTATAGTCCAAGAGCCTGCTGCAAATTTCGACCGTCATCTAATAACGAAATGATATACAGGGTGATTCAAAAGTAAGCGGCATCCTTTCAGAGGCGTATTCCTTGCATGAAAATAAGGCAAAAAGTTCCTATTGATAAGGATCCGAAAATGCTTCCTAAGGGAGCTGGCCCTTTGAATAGGACACCTCAAAGACGCAAATCAGAAAGTTTTCAAAGTCGATTTTCTCCTAAATGGTACGCTCTATCGACATGAACTAGGAGGACCTTTTTCACGTAAAAAACTCTAGAATTTTATAATTTCCAAACGAAATCACAGTAACCTGAATATCCGGAGAAGAAGGGATATTTTTACACTTACCCTCTCCCGCATGTGACGCCCCTGAATGAAATTCTGAAATTTCGAATACGGAGTCCTATTTACCATCGAATGTTTATGCCGTACACCAATTTTTAAAAATTTGTTGTGAAGGATTTTAAAGTTATAGAGAAAAAACCGTCTTTGAGGTGTCCTATTCAAAGGGCCGTAGCTCCCTTAGGAAGCATTTTCGGATCCTTATCAATAGGAACTTTTTGCCTTATTTTCAAGCAAGGAATACGCCTCTGAAAGGATGCCGCTTACTTTTGAATCACCCTGTATGTTCCAGAGGCATGTAAAAACATTGTGGTTTATCGAACGGCACCTGTGCCATTCACTACCCTGAGCAAAATGATTGAGAAATCGCACTTCCTTGTGCGAAAATTTTCTCTAGAATCCGCGATTTGATAACGAGATAAGAATTATTTATTTAATTTGTAATACATCCAGCAGGCCAAGGCCAATTACAGGAGTATATAATAGAGATTACTATACATATGGTTGAGTGTGATTTCAATTAGGTATAATCAAAGTTAGTGAAAATTTTAGTTAGGAACTAAACTGGAAATGGTTTGTTTAAATTGTTTTGAGGTGAGAAAAAATATATCTACAGTTCCAAGTTTATTATAATTTCTGCACATTGAATTGATTGGGGAATGAAAATGGTGCTGTGTGTTAGACACATTAATGTGGAATGTATCTTGATACCGAGAGGCTAATCGGGGTATACTGAACTCGATTTGCGAAAGTAATATTGAGGAGTCTATAGTATTATTAGTATTGTGTATAATTTTATAAACAAAAAGTAAATCACCTATTTCTCTCCTCTTCTTCAGCGATTGGAACTTAAACTCATTCAACAGAAGGTCATAATTATAGTGCCTTTCGGGGTAGACTTTATATTTTTTGTAAAATAAGTATTTCAGAAATTTACGCTGTACCATTTCAATAGCAGAAATTGTTTGTTGGTGGTACGGATTCCATACCTGACTGCAGTATTCCAGTTTACTTCTAACCAAACTAAAGTATAACTGACAAAGTGCTTCTAATGATTTAAATTCACTACAAGTACGAATTAAAAAACCCAAGGATTTCATAGCTTTGGAGATCATTGTTTCATAATGACTTGAGAAGGCAAGTTTGCAGTCATATATGACACCCAGGTCCTTGTGTTGTGTGACTCGTGTTAGAGATTCATCATTGATGACATAGTGGTACATAAGAGGATTATTTTTTCGTGAATACGTCATCACCTTACATTTGCTGACATTGAGCGATAGTTTATTTATTGAACAACAGTTTTTCAACAGATTCAGATCATTTTGTAAGGAGATGGCATCTGATAAGTCGTTAATCCATCTGAAAATTTTCATGTCGTCAGCAAATATGAGGGATTTCGACTCAAAATTGGAGCATACATCATTCACGAATAACAAAAATAATAAGGGTCCCAAATTTGAGCCTTGAGGCACACCTGATGTAGCTATAAACTGTGAGGATTGAACTCCTTCGTATTCGACATAAAGTTTGCGGTCTTTCAGGTATGTCCTCAATACATTGATAAGGTTTTTGGAGAATCCAAAAGATACTAGTTTATCTAATAACCGAGCTAATAACCTGCTGTGTGATACGCGGTCAAATGCTTTACTGAAATCAGTGTGAATAACATCAACTTGGCATCTTGAATCTAGGGCATTCGAAACAAATTCCGTAAATATACAGAGGTTTGTCGATGTACTGCGACCTTTCATGGAGCCATGTTGGTTTTCTGTAATGCCATCCATCCGATACCAATTGAATGGTAGATTTCAAAAACTCACTTGTACCACCCCTCAGTCTAAAGTCTAAACCAAATCCATGGCACAGCGATTTATTTTCTGTTATTATTCCGGACATATTTCCGTCATGTGATAAGGAGTGAACACGATCTGCTCATTAAATTTTTGTTTCTCGGTGATAGGTCCTTCGATTGGTGAAAGGATTATTTTTGGAAACTATCGGACAATTCAAAAAACTGCAAATTACGTTTTATTGATCGTATACCTAAACAAACATGAAGAAAATCTTAAATCTAGTACTTAGCTGAATGCCTATTGTCCTGACGAGTCGCCATCACTTCACTACAGTTTTTCTAAAATGTCAGTGCACCACTAAAATAGTTATGTTGTCGATGTCTGGGAGGCACGTAGTTTTGTGAATTTGTAGTTAACTTTTATATATGGTACCATAAAAACTCTCAGGTAAAATCACGTTCATTCTTCGAGTATCACTCTCGATTACATACAAGATGTCACTTCGTATAAGACACGGATACCGGCTTCTTTGTCATGAACTTATCGAAGTTATTTACGAACGGTGACCACGAAGTTTACTCTCTGGATGGTAGTCACCCACCGTCTACCTTTGAGCCTTTCCTGTCTTTCCCCTTCTGACCTACTTCACCAACTTAGCAAATCCCGCGCCAAAATATGACGCTTCACCCTTCGTTTCCATTGGTCAGCTTCTTCGCCTGGAAACATCCGAGATGTTCTAGAACCACGAGCGCTCACCAGTTGCTCCCATCCACTTCGACACTTTTATCAGATTGTGCGTATCCACCAAATACTAACCTAAACCTATCTTATAATAATACTGTGAAATTATGGGCTTGGTACACGAGTTGAAACAAGAAGCAAATAAGAGCAGATGATGTCGCGTTTGCGAATATCCAAACGTGCCGCGTTTCTAACTGATCTTAGTTAGTGGCAGAGCGTCAATACTTGCCAGAATATTTCGCCCTCCTCTGAAGATAATATCCATTGGACCAGTGTAAAACTCAACAAGTGGTTTATAATACTTGTACTGTGAGGAGCACCACATGAGTTTCACGCTGGTCCATCGGATATTATCTTTCGACGAGGGCGAAATATCCACAAACTTAGATCAGTTTGAATCGCGGCACGTTTGGATATTCGCAAAAAGGACATTTCTCCCTTTCATTTGCTTCTTGTTTCAACTCGTTATCACATGGCAGAAGTTTGTCCGGAAAAATAGGAGCAAATGAATTTCTGTGCCGTGGATTTGGCTTGGACTGATTCTTATCTCGTTATCAAATCGTGATATCAAGTGCAAATTTCCGCACAGACACGTGCTATTTTATTATCATTTTGCTCAGGATAGTGATTGGCACAAGTACCGTTCGATGAACTACAATATTTTTACATTCGTTTTGGACATATATATCATCTCGTTCTCAGATGACGGTGGAAATCGATGGAACTAATGGAATTCATAGGGTGAGTATACCTACCTAGCATATACAGGGTTATTCCCGTTATACGACACGAAACATGCATTGTGACTAAAGCATTTGAATTATTAGACGTTTTTTTTTTTCGGATGACTAGGGACCTATCAGTGAAACATTTCGAAAATATGATCATGTTGTACAGGGTGTGCCAAAAACACGAAATTCATCTAAGTCGCTATTTTTCATATGGAATGCCCTTTATATTATTGCATTCTCAGATTCTCCCTGAAGAGCTGATTCTATCAATACATCATACTTGGTGTGTGTTTTGACGCAATAATGAATAGTTTCAGCACAAAATAATTCTAAAGTAGAAAAATCTCCATTTCGAAAACTCTATATCTCTGTGATAATTCCCGCTAGACCCTAAGTTTGATGCATTTAAGAAATCAGCTCTTCATGGGTAATCTAAAAATACAATAATATACAGGTCATTCCATTACAAAAATAGCAACTTTGATACATTTCTTGTTTTTGGCACACCCAGTACAACATTAAAATATTTTCGAAATGTAGCGCTCTATTCATCTGATGAAAATTACTTTAAAAAAATGTAATGCTGAAGCCAAAAAGTTTCGTGTCGAATAACGTGAACAATCCTGTATATTTCACATGGAAAACTATACTTCTTTATTATTATCAATTGTCTCTCCAAATGTGATGAAATAGTAGAGAAATAAATTGATTGAATTGGTCGTGAGGACGTAATTATTAATTTTTTTTTTTCTGTTAGTAAATTGATTTTTTTTCTATTACAGATCCGGACATGTTATCTTCTGATGAACTGAAAGAGCCTTCTTCAACTACATTTTGGATATCGATTATATCTATATTAAATAACAGAACATTATTTTATAATATTGATTCAATTAAAATTCAAATCACACATTTCTTATCATATAATATATTATATATTTGAGTAACTGTAAGATATATATACTTGAATAATAATATCAATTATATTATATTTGAACTTATATAATTCGATTTTTAATGAATGTTTTCCAATAATAAACTTCTAAACAGTTGATATCAAGAAATATTAGTTAATATTGAACTCATAGGTTCCTTCATTGTGTCGAAAATCATCAAATTAGTATTAAACTAATTATTCATTTGAAATTTCTGAATCAACCATTTGTTTGTGGTTAAATCACATCAGTTTGGCCATATTCAAAAGCATAATTTATTAACATTGAAGAAAATGTCTTTATTGCTAACAAACTGTTCTCTCAGTGTAGAAATTTGTAACCGGCACTCCTACTAATGGTACCCAGCAAACATCGAAAGGCGGTAGAAAGCCGGGCCCATGGCGAGAACGGCGGGCAAATGTCGATGTCGGCATGCCTCGAAAGGCCCTCCAAATAATTTCGAAGGATTATGTGACGAAGGCAGAATGTACCCATACTTATTATAGGCCTCTGTTTCCCAGTCGCTAGTTTTCCGCTGTATGTATCCATGTCAAAGGGCCATCAAAATTTCAACGGAGTGTGCCATCATCACTCACTCAACGTTGGCATCCCTCGCTCGCGTGAATTTTTATTTCGATCATTTTGCAGTGGTAACAATGATTCAGTATGGCGTATATCGATTTCTTTGTTTATGTTGTCTCAACACTCTCAAGAGAGATTTTAGTACTGTGTTCAGTTATGGTTCAGTTCGTGTTTGGTTTTCTTGTGGATTTTTATACAAAATAGAAGGGAATTGAAATAAATACAGAGTGAGTGAGGAACATATATACAAACTTGCACAGCTGAAAAATTCTATTTCAGATAATAATTTAACAAACACCATTGGACAAACAGATGCAATAATAGTTTGGACGTGTTCAGCGGATACACAAGAATATAATAATTGAGGACTTTGAAGATGCATGAGCTTTCATTACATATGAATCAAAACGAAAATCAAAGATAGCTACTGGAAGAAACAGTTATATTTCAATACTGTAGGTATGTATAAGGTTGCATGTTTTGGATTAGTAGAGAATGAAATCATTCAATCTTTCAGCTACAAAATCAACAACCAGAAGCCCATCAATTACAGATATTAATGAAGAAAGCACACAATGATCCAGACTATATGATATGAATTATTTCATGGTATATGATATCTCACTTCCAGGCAACACTCATATCAATATGATGAAGAGTAAGGTTCTCCATATCTGGAAATTGTTTTCTTGTAGATTGAACTTCATTGTTGACAATAACTTGATCAATATAATAACTGATTACCTACATACCTTTCAAGTTATTAGGTAGGTACATAGGTGATGTAATTTTTGACCTAGAGTTAGCAACTTTTTGAAACAATGAGGATACAGAGTGATATGTAGAACTAGAATTAAGATGTTTGATGTTTCCATAGTTGTGATATGTATTGGTTGTGATCATGGCAATAATATACACACATGGATATTTTCAGTTCTTGTTTTTGTATGGGGTATTCATACTGCTAGTTTCCTGGAAATAACTGTGATATCAGAATGCCATCTCAGAGATTTTTATGTAATTATTCAACAACTTCAGGTGAGGAGTGAATTCCACATTTCTGTTTTACCCAGAGGATTCACAAAAAACTCGGAGACCTCAATTCTGTTTTTGGAAGTTCCACATTTTTTAACCAGTTTGAAAATAAAGAGAGAGTGATGCAAATCTGAGTGAAAATGAGATACGTTGCTTTCCAAGTGGTGATATATAAACTGGAATACCTTTCAAAAAACCTATTTTCACTGAGATATGTGCATTACCCTATATAATCTTTGACAAACCTAGTTGAAAAATGGGACATCAAAAAACAGAATACTATGAATATTGAATTCATTCAACCCCGTTAACCAACGGCCCTGAAAGACTCCTCTATCGGGGGAATGAAAATACTCAAGCGGCCAATTAATGGCAGTCTCTGAAAATTCTCAATCGGGCCGAAGATATGCCATGAATGCAGTACATTTGAGTACTTGCTTCTGCCCACCAGAAGCCCTGCAACGTAATAAGCGGCATACTGATGGCTCTAGTGAGGCGGTCGGCTGTCGGCCGCCGGGACACGGGCTAGCCGGCCCAATTTAGATGTACAATAGAGGACCGCTGTTACCGCTCGCCGGCAAGTTTCATTGTACCGTTAGAGGGCCGCAAAAATCATGTTTGCTGGGTAAGTAAACAAAGATCATACTGATTTATCAGTAATTTGGTGTAATCCACTATAAAACCTTGAATATTGTTTGAAATGAGTTATACCTCATTTTTTTCCGAAATCATCCAATGTGAAAATGAGATTCTTTCTTTTGGATTAACTGCATGGTCATCTGATATAAGTGTGTATTTACTCACCATCTTTATTACACAATCTGACATCATCTAAAGCCCACATTCCTTTATCAGTGTCTGGTGCATTCTGTATCCGGGTAGAAAACATTAATAATTCCTCACCTTTCAATTTCGAGTTGTCATAAATTACTTTGATTGGCTTCCACACTTCATTCTGAAACAGGTCAGAACCATAGCCATCAATCTCAATAGCAATATTATTCAATATTATTTCATTGATATATGAAGAATCTTCTGAAACGAGTCGATTTTCATTCTCAATTTTCCATATTGGATATACAGGGTGATCCACATTCTAGTATGACGTCCCAGAAATTTTTTTCATCGCCCAAATATCATTGAATTTTTGTAATCTCCAATTCTCCGATTATTTACGAATTTATATTCTCCTCTTTACGAAAACCCTGAGTTTACCGGACGCACTGTATACGAATCCAATATGTGTGATATCTTTTTGAATTCAACTTCCCATAGATATTCTAGAAATTGAATAATAATATAGGGTGTTTTATTTAAAAAACTGTCGCCTACGTCAATACTCGAACGTGAATAACCCTGTATATATATTCAATTTTTCCTTTTGAATTTGTCAAAATGAGAATAGAAATCGACTTGTTGCAGGAGATTCCTCAGAAACTGATAATTTGGCTGAAAAATAATGTATTCAGTACTTCACGAAAGTACTGTATATCGGGTGTCCTCGTAATGTGGAAGAGCTCTATTGTTCCTTTCTCCATTGCGATAAGAGTTCGACAAAATCTTCTTGAGTATTATCTATATATATCATCGAGGATAATGCATAATTTTGGATGGAGATCATGAAAACAAAGATCTGCAGGCATATATTGGATTCCACATAATTCTGTGTATTATTCTTTCTTGCAATAATTCTAAACAGCTTTGGCAATGTCGCAAAAGAATTGCAAAAATTAGACATAGTTATGTGGGAAGATAACGACAAATCTGAATGTGAGAAAATACAAAATGTTCCATTTAAAAATGCGTGATTCTTGTAGCCCCATTTTCAAAGAACATCCTGTAGGAATTATAATGAATTTGATTTTCAGACCTCACGATATTGTACTACCTATATTCCCAACAGAATGTTGTATAAGTATCTCTCATTGCAATGGAGCTACAGAGCTTTTCCACACTATGTGGACAGAATAGATACAAGTAAACTTTCTCTCTTGAAGAGAATAATCTCTATTATTCTCATTCCTATATCATGAACTCACCGTAGTATTGAATGTTTCTCTCAATAAAATCTCGTTCCTGTTTTTAATTGTCAGTGTCAATGAACATGTATCACAGAGTGCCATGAACATTGAAATACAAAGTGTGTTTTGTTGTGATTGGATGGAAGGACCTAACTGATCAGTACCCTTTGAATCAGAGTAGAGATATTTGTCTGAAAACAAGAATACATCATTCTACTTGAACAGAATTGTAGATTTTTCATTGATACCCTATACCCTATTTTTCTCATTCAGTGTATAAAACCCTGAAAACGTGAAGTCTAATATGCCGTTTTCCACTAGACTGAAAATTTCAATCGGTGAATAGGTATATCAATATAGATAAAAAACATGCAGTGTGGAAAAATCCCGAGCTAGTATGACGAGTAGAAGTAAATGTCAACTTATGTCTTATTTATCTGAGTTATTCAAGGATGTTAACTCAACAGGATGGTGCATACATCACGAAGCAATCAAACCAATTATTCCTCCATAGGAACTCCATAGACCGTGATATAACCGCATTCATTTCAATAAAATTATATAAAGGAATATTTCTCGGAGCTTTACAAATATTGATGAAATATCAATGGCGTGACGTCATATCGTTCATCCTTTTCATTGATCACGGCAAGGTTGACCACCCTTCAGGGTCAACAATATGCTTTTACATAAAATAGAATTTTTTTTTCTTTTCCAATTGTATAACATCGAAACGCAAACTTATGTCACATCCCTAGTTTTCAAGACCCTGATAAGTATCCTCTTAATTAATATTCTCGTTATTTCAAAACGTTTTGTCAGAACTGATCTCATTTATACTCACATTGGTGTACTTTCCATAAGACATCGACTACTTTCGAATGGAGCCACATTTTTTTTGGATTAAAAGGATTGCTTTCGTTATCATGGAACTCCAAGAAATCATCATTGCCTCTCAACACCTTCAATATGAATCCATGTTTCATAATTTTGAAGTGTCTCCAGATATTTTTATCCAAAGCACCAATACTTTTCTAGAAGTACAAGTCAGTCCGAATTGATAAAAAATGTAATCCTCTTTTTTACAAAACAAGTTTGAAATTGATTATGAATTGACTCAAATGTGCTGAATTAAGTAGTATAGAAAATGTATTCGAGTTATTCGTCTCGTAGAAATCAATTCAAAAATCGAACAAAACGAATGGATTAATTTTTTCGAAACACTGTATGTAGGTTAATCGAGGAGTTGGAATATCTATTCCTTTAGATTTTTCAGATTTTCTTTCTTTCTCTCAGAGTAAGGACAAAAGAACATATTATATGAACAATATATCAATAACATAACGTAGATGTGATGACTCCAGAATAATTCGTATTATAAATTTGAATGTCTACCAGAAAATTTTCGATTCTCCAATATTTTCTACGTAAATATGGTAAAATAAAAATATGTATGAGTACTAGGTATCTCAATATACATGTGGTGACGAAAATTCAGATGATTTGCCCCAAAATGTCATTGCGTTCAGAATTTTCTCTATCAGAGAGCCCAAATGAAAAATTCATTCGATTGTTATAGTGACACTTCGTTTTGAAAAATGTTTGATAAGGAATATAGATATACAGGGTGAGTCCTAATATGTGGGACGCATTTCGAGAGGTAAAAAGGCGTCTCAAGGAAATAAAAGAAGTCGTAGTTGAAAATATTAATAGAATGTTCTTATGTCCACCTTGTATGGCTTATCGTGGTGGCGAAATTGTGTCTGTTATGTGACTGATGGCATAGTGTCGCAATAACAGATTGATTTCTATCATGGTTGGAGTAATCTGAACAGATGTCTTGAATGGACTATCCAACATCCACGGATATCTACATCAAATTTTGGAGTTGAATTTGGTTATTGGGTTTTTCTACAAAATTGCATCCTTTTTCATATTTTTGAATGAAATTTCAATACCCCTCAACAGTGCCACTGTGAGTTAGATTGACTAAATAATGCTACCCAATCAATCACTCTCAGCACCGAACATGAACGTTCATGTTCGGTGTTCTCAGGTACTGAGTTATGCACCAAAATATAAATTTTTTTTGTAAATCGGTAATTTAGAAATCAAATGAAGATTTTTTTTTCAACTTCGACACCCTGTATCTCGCAATCGAAACCTTATACGACTTTTGTTTATGGGAACTCTTTTATCTTCTTAGGTCAAGTTAGGTCAGATATTTTATAAAAAGTAGTCTTCCTTGTACTCTCAAGTAGTTTTCCGAGAAATAATTTTTTCTACAAACGCTTAATGAAGTAGCCTTTGACGCTTTCAAATTCCAGCACAAATTTGACGTTTTCCCAGAAATGTCATTCTTTGACAGCATTTGCGCTCGTGAGCGGAAATATTGAAAAAACGCTCGCTTATCTCTGTAACCTATACTTATATATTCTTGAAAACCCCCAATTCTTTCATGATGGAAAATAGTGACAGTGAATCATCAAACACGCCTCCTTCCTGATGATATAGCAGAAAGCGCAAGAGTTTGAATCACTTACCGGAGAAATCAAGGAAGAAATATGAATTACAATATGATACATTCATAAATTGGTGCCACTCCGAGATGGTGAATAATATGTATTCATAAAACGTTTTACTGGCTTATTTTGGTAAAAAATCAAAGACTTTGAAGTCATCAACTCATTGGTCTTTTTCGATGGTACGTATACATGCTTGAATGTTAAAGATAATATCGGAATCAATAAGTATCTGTAACTTATCGCATTTCTCAAGAAACAATCTATTGGATATAAAGCGAGAAAAATCCAAAACATTCACCATTATACCAACAAATTTCTACAAGAAGCTCCCGATGAAGCATATCTGTTGAAAACGATGAATTATATACTTTATATTTGAACTCTTTTTTGTCATCAGAAAGACAGTGTATCTTTATTTTATTGCATCAATGAGTAATGTTCAATTTGATTGCATAGCTTATCGTACTATGGCTCAGAGGTCTGAAGCTCAGGTTGCCACGCTGGTGGTCCAGTTTCAATTCTCGGTAGGCCCGACATTTTTTTCTGGCTTGTCAGTTATTTCAATTTTTCTTTTTTTGTTTCCTTTGGACATATGGGATAATATGGATTAGAACTTTCTCAACTATTTCAATCGTTCATACTTTCAGGGTAGTTATTTCCAAAAGCTGCGTTAGTAGAAAAAATCTTGTGTGTATTTCGAGCACAAAGTGTTATTGCCGCTCTCCAAAGATTACCGCGCTCCGCTCCGCATCGCGCGGTAACTTTCTTTGTCGAGCGGCGATCTATCACTTTGCGCTCTAAATACACAAATAGCTATTCAAATACGGAGAGAGAAATGAGAAAAATCCAATCGATCATTTCGGCATAATGACCACTTTCGGCAAAATGATTACCGATCTGTTTCGGCGTTTTGGCCAAGAATCCGACGACTTGCCAATTCGGCAACTTGTCCATTCAACGAAGTGGAAAATATTGAAATTAAAAAATATTATTTTTGCACAAATTGATTTCGTATTTCAATGTGTTAATTTATAAGTATACTTCATAAGTTAACGCGATCTATATTATAGAAAACTAAAAGTAGCACGACTCTGAAAATTCTTTGGGATGGAAGTGACGTAATCTTTCTTATTTTCAATAGGACACCCTGCAATTTACAACATTTTTAAATTACTTTCATGATTCTGATACAATTGCATGTATCATCCTATATACAAGGTGTAATTCAATTGATGGCTAGTAATGGGCTCCGTGGCCGAGTTTGTCTATGCGCTGAAATTCGCTAGATAGCCGTTCACGATGCAGAGGTACTGTCGGTTCGAATCCGGCTGTCGGTTGAGCATTTTTCATTAAAATGTGTGATTCATGGTTGTAATCCTGGCAGCACCTCGATGCCCTAGAAGTGGTTCGAATTCCACTATAAGTTGTAGGTCCCGCTCTTCCTAACCCCGCACAAGTTTCGACTTCTGGGGAGTTGGTTCCCAACTTTGAAGTAGCGATATACAAATCTCACAAAAAAAATTCACAAATGTAGGATATGGTTCCTTAGCTCATTTTGAGAAGGACATCAGCTCATATGAACATATATGCCTTGAACCTCTTAAATTTTGAGCTAGAGGGTGTTAAAATTTCAAGAAAATATGCGTTTTCTTATCATAACTCTGACATGTAACTACTAAGCAGTAATAGGCATTCATTAAGGCAGGAGATTTTCCAATATTCCTACCAGTGGCGTCCGTATGGGATGTATATTGGAGATTTTTTTTAAAAAATATCGTACGCCCTCGCTTTTTCCAAAAACAAAAATCATATTTGGAATACCTATACATTTCGCAACAATTTGACTGCCTGAATTTTTTTCCTTTGACGCACCGTTATCGCATAAAAAAATAGAAACCATTTTCATACATTTGTGGTATGACGAAAACTAGTACGCTGGTGTCCTATTTCATATTTAAAATAATGACATTCGATCGATTACGTTGCAGTCTTATTTTGACAAGTACATATTCATAAAGGTGACAATATTTCACATTGTGAAAGTTTCTTTGATCAATAATAAAGAAAAAATAAAAATTTCGACACCCTACATCTCGAAAGCTAAGAGGTTTAGGGCATATGTTCATGTACACTTTTCTTCTACAAATGTGCTAAGGAGTCATATCCTATCCTATCCTATCAATTAAATCACACCCTGTATAAAATGAACCGTTTTTGAGTTATTCGAGTTTTTCTAGAAAAAGTAACGAATGGCAATCAAACATACGCCATTTTTATGTGAATTGCAATTTTTAGTGAAATGCATTGATCAAATCGAAGGTTAACAGATCACTGACTATAATCACAACCGGTGAATAATTCACAGGGTGCGCAGAAAAGTGCACTGAGAGAAGTTTCTATTAGCAGTTATAAGAAATATAGGCGCCACAGCAATTCATTTGCTGATGAACTGAATAGATTGATTATGCTAAAAGAACTCTATTAGATCCAAATAGAATATTGCATTGTTCAACACCTGCCTGGCACAAATAGAGATGTGGATGTAAGTAAGTAAGTTGGTCGTACTGACTCAATAGGTTGACTGATTTACACTACTCTGATACTTTGTTACTACTAATAGCTGCTGAAAATTTATAAGTATTATTCTAGATAAATTAGTTTACTCTCATGAATAGATTTTCTAACAGATTTAGTAGGGTCGTGTGTATTGTGTGTCAGTCTGTACTTGAAGGAAACCTTCGTTCAAATCAGTTGAAATTATACCTAATCATTGAAGAATCCACATAGGAGACTGAATCCAAAATTATAATCAACAATCATGATTAAGAGAAAATATCTGAATATATATCCTCCCGATTCGGAACCCGTCGACCGATTTTCAAAAACAAAAATTTCATAATATAGTACCCAACGAGATCTATTCGAAAATGTTGACAAATCTAAAATATTCAGATTTTCAAGGCCTACTTTTGATTGTTGAATCGGTCAAAATTTCAAAAACGACTATTAGGCAATTTTTTGTCGAAACAGTGACTAGTCCATTCAATTCAGGCATAGCTCAAACATCTCCATACGAAATTAGAACGCAAAATATTACATAGGGTGTTAGTTATTCGATGGCAAATTTTGATATTTATGATTTTTTGCTTCGCCCCGTATCAAAATCTGAGAAATTGATATATCTGCTGCAGTATTCATTCAATGGAGGAACACATCGAATACTTGCGAGGACGAAGTTTCATCGTTGTAACTTCTACAGGAAGATCTCTCTAGGTCAACCAAAAATCATTAAAATTAAAGTTTAGGTTCACCATTTTGAAAACTCAATTAAACCTTTTTTCACACATTTCATCACAGCCATCACACAGTAACTCGATTGATAAAGAATTGTCGAATTTAACACAAATAGAATGACAGACAAACACTCTCCTAAGACTACAAGGAGACCTCCATCAGACAAAACTATGCCATGTAGAGGTGAGTTTGCAGATTAATCATTAATAAACTATGG